ATCATCACCTCCATTACTATCTTCTTCATCATCGCCATCATCACCATCTTCATCACTTCCATCATGTTCGTCATCATCTTCCCCATCACTTTCTTCTTCATCATCTTCATCATCATCATGCTCATAACCGTACATCACAGTCTAGAGAGTGTGTTCACGTTGCCCCCTGCAGGCTTCACAAATGACAGCTGTTGTTGCCATGACAACACACAGCAGCAGCCAACTGGTTCGGTGGTGAACATGCATGAAGGCTCACAGAAGAATTGTCACGTGGAGACGGTTTGGTTTTTCTCTCGGCCTTGAATGTCTTGTCCATCTCTTCTGCCGTCATTTTGGTTTATTTTTTACTTTCTCTGTCGGTAGCTGAGGTTCCAACGTAGATGCAACATTGATTTTGGTTTTTTTCTATCAACATTTAGAAAACTTTTCCACCCCTTTTCACCCCGGTTGAGGCCTGGAGATGACCAGTGTGGTCACTGCAGCTGCTGTAGTTACTAATCAGACAAGTCTGCTCCTCTTTACAGTCGGTGCTATTTTTAGTTTCACCCACCAACCTTCACCTCTCTTCCAGGTGTCTCCCGTCTGGATGATCAAATATTCATCAACCGTAACCCCGGAGTACCGTCTGTGGTCAAGTTCCATCCCTTCAACACCTGCATCGCTGTGGCCGACAAGGACAGCATCTGGTCAGGGAGACGGCACTTACTCAGATTTAGTTTCATGTCAAGACGGAGATTAAAAAGGGAAATGACTCCTGCACATATGTAACAGGGTTACAGTGTGAATGAAGTGTTTCTTTTTTTTTTATTGTTCTGTAGTTTCTGGGACTGGGAGAAAGGTGAGAGGCTGGACTACTTCTACAATGGAAATCCACGTTACACTCGCATCACAGCCATGGAGTATCTGAACGGACATGACTGTTCTCTGCTGCTCACGGCAACAGGTTGGTCAACACAGACGCACATTTCCGCCTCTAGGGGCAGCCTGTTCACAGCGAATCTGCTGCTAACAACATATCACTTAAAGTGGGGAGAAAGGTGAGAGGCTGGACTACTTCTACAATGGAAATCCACGTTACACTCGCATCACAGCCATGGAGTATCTGAACGGACATGACTGTTCTCTGCTGCTCACGGCAACAGGTTGGTCAACACAGACGCACATTTCCCGCCTCTAGGGGCAGCCTGTTAACAGCATATCTGCTGCTAACACAATATTCATTAAAGTGAAAGAATAATTTAAGATAATTTGTAAAGTAAAAAATATTTTTATTAGTCATTTTTTTTAGCAATTGCTAGATTTCAGGTGACCGCATTTGCTAGCAACTAGCGATACATTATAGGATTAATTGTTAGCTTTCACCAAGGTAACCATGCTAATACCTCTGACTTCCTCCCTATCCCAGATGTGCATCTTTTCAGTTACAGTACTGCCACCTACTGGGACTATTTTTTTTATTGTTGACTTTTTTTTATTGTATCTGGAGGATGTTCTGTTCACATGCAGCGTAGCAAGAAAAAAACTGAAAACAAGGTAGAAACCTTAGCAGTGTTAAAAGTAGCATCATTTACTTTCCTTATATAAATAGCTAGAGAGTAAAAAGGCTCACATTTGAAGATAAGGTTTAGTACAGTTGAAGTAAAGAGGAGACTCATTTGTTGCAGCAACAAGATTTGACCACGACTCCCACAAACATAAACACCAAACACTGATTTATGTGCGTGTGTGTGATTTATGTTCATTCATCATCAGAACAAAGCAATTACCCTGCATTAATTTATCTTCATAATCCACAGGAATTACAGAATTCAACAGAAAAAAAAAAAAACCCTCATTCATTTAGTTTTGTCTAATTAAATCGATGCTTCATTTTTTAACACGATTTCCTGAAAACGCTGACAAATCTCAGGAATGAATGCATAACATGTAATCAAATGTTCAGTTCAGTTCAAAGGTGACTTTTTTTTTATTTTTACCATCTTTACCAAACTTACTTTTTCGTTCACCCAGAAGAACACTTCTGCTTTGTTTTCTCCTCAAACCAACGGACCGTCGCTGTCTTCCACTGTTGTGACGTAAAGCTCCTCCCTCCATTTCTCTGTGCATTTACGACTCCCCTTTTCTCCCCCGTCTCTCCCCTCTTCCCTCCTCTCCACACACCAGACGATGGAGCGTTGAGAGTCTGGAAGAACTTCGCCGACCAGAAGAACCCAGAGATGGTGACGGCATGGCAGGGTCTCTCCGACATGCTGCCCACTACCCGAGGTCAGCCCTCTGCCAGCGCTCACAGTAAAGATCAATGCTCTACTTTTTTATATAACCCCCCCACCACCACCACCACCACCACCACCACCCACTCATCTACCCACCCACATGAACCCTACTACCCGGTTGTGCACCTCGTGTGTCCCCCCAAAATAACCGTGCAGGTGTTAGTGGAAGAGGCGTGAAACCTGGTGTGAGGCTCTGACTTCATACCAGTGGACAAACATGTTGATGATGATGTCTTCATGTAAACACATAGACAATCCCACTACTCACTTCAACTCATCTGAAAAATGTTTTTTATTGGGAAAAAAATGGCCGCTATATGCCTGATAAAACAGCTGGTCAAGTCAACACTTCCTGGATAGCTTTAGATGGATGGATGGATGGATGGATGGATGGGTTGGATGAATAGGTGGGTGGTGGGCTGAATGAAAGCATCTGCACCACATAAACCTAAAGGAGGTTTTGGGTGGAGTCAGCGCCCCCTGCAGTATTTCTTTATGACCCAGTAGCCAGGTTAGTGCGTTTTATTTGAACTCGGTTTATATTCATTAAAGTGAAATAATAGTTTAAGATTATTTATTTATTTATTTATTATTATTTATAGTCTTTTTTTTTTTATCAATTGCTAGGCATTTCAGGTGACCCCATTGGCTAGCAAGTAGCGTTTCATCGCAGGATTAATCATTGTACAAGTCAGCCTTCACCAAGCTAACCATGCTAATACCTCCCTATCCCAGATGTGGATGTTGTTAGTTACAGTACTGCCACCTACTGGGACTATTTTTCATAGTTGACTATTTTTCTGTATCTGCAGGGTACAGTAAAATGGAAAAAAAAGCCATACATGTACAGAAAGGAGTTTTGGGTGGAGTCAGCGCCCCATTTGTTTCTGCTGTTTTTAGTGTCAGGTTCCTAATCCGGGACTCTGACTTCACTTCCATACCTCACAGCCACATTTTATGCCCTCATCAATCCTGGCATAAACTTGTCACTTTTACCATATCCATCATATACCTGCCGTATCTGCCAACATTGTCACCGTATCTGACAACGTCAGAGTCAAGTTCTCACCTCTGACAGACATACAGCACATAAATCTGCAGCGAGGCGCTGCGATTCCTCACACCTCTGCCACCTCGCCATAATGGATGGTATTTAAACATAGAGCACGGACAGTGCTGAATGTTCAGGCTATGTTTGCCGCTTGTGTTGACACACTTACATAATTTTGTGATGCGGAATTACTCCACACACAACACACACACACACTCTCTGCTGCTGCTCCAAATTTACTTTCTTGCCTGGAGCTTTTCTCCACCGCAGTTTTCTGGGACAGAGAAGAGTTTGGAGGAGCTGTCACAGCCGCAGGAAAGATTTCTCTGTTACGGTAAAAGCTAATTAACCTGTTTTGTTAAGACAGGAGTCAGTAGCTTCCACACTTGGCCATTTTTTTTTTTGGTACACATTAGTTAACATCTTGATGTGAGCGTTTACCACCGAAATAGTCTCATTTTTATCGTGAGGTTTTGTTTTTGCCTCCGTAAGATTGGAACCATGTCCAGGACGATTTTTTAACGCTGTACACCGTAATTATTATTCTACTAATTACAGGCTTTGTCTCATTTTTAGTTACCACCATAGAGAATGTTAAACGATAGCTAACACTTTGATTCATATTACTAACTAGTGAGAGCTAATTAGCTAGCATTTTAGCCACATTTTAATTCCCTAGTTTGGTCGAATTTTATGTTATGTACGTCATGATCATTTTTACCTTTGGCAAACTTGAATTTTTGAACAATTTACAGATTCTCTCCTAACCTAGCATTAGCTTAGAGACCAACCTGGCTGTATAGAGCTGCTAACATTCTTCTGCTAACTGTAGTTAGCAAAAGTCCTTTTTACCAGTTTGTAATGTCTAGACTCATTCTTAATCATTTCACCATTTTTTTTCTAATCTCATACTTTTTCTTAACTGTCTGAAATCACTCTCACTCATGTTTTTTTACCCTCTCTCTGGCTAAAAATAGGATACTTTTAGTTTTCAAAAGAAATGCAACTACTTTTTTATTTAACATTTTAATTCCTTATATATTTACATGACTATTAGACATTTTAAGCTTTACTTAAAGTTGTCTTTTCTCTTTGTTCTTCCTATATATGTAGCGATCTTTTACCCATTTCTATGCTAACTACGTAGCTATCACAAGCTAGTTGGCCGTATGTTTTGTAAACTCTCTACAGTTTGGTTTTATATTTATTGTAGACTTGAACCTACCTAATCCTGATGTTTCCTCATTTTTATTTATTCTGTGACTTAAACTATCTTTTGCCAACTTTTGTAAAGTTCTTGAAAGTTTCAAAGTGGTGGCGTATCCCCCCCATCAGGAGAACATTACTGGCAAACCCAGATAATTCAAGAGCTTCGTGCCCTGAGCCCTTACTTATTTCTGACCTGGACTTGTAGACAGTTTCCTATATAGCAACTGTTGACAATACCTCACGAGGAAAGACACAGGTTAAGCTAATTGGTAGCATCTCAGACAGAGCTGTCAGAACAGCTGAGTCACAGGCAGACACAGGTGTGAAAAAATACAACCTCATGCACATACTACAAGGCCATAGTCACCAGGGCTGTGCAGTAACCCACGGAGGTATGACACGCTTAACTAGCATCACTGTCTGAGCGACTCAACTGTCCCTTTTCTCTGTGCACGACTTGAGCTTTTTTAAGGAGGATTTAACCATTAATGGTCAGTTTCTTAAATTGAATTTACAGTTTAGCTTATTATTCAGACTTCAGCCAAGGTGTGCACTCAAGAAAGCATGAGTTAGCGGGTTATCTTTTAACATGTGTTGGCTAAACTTTTATTGCTAACTAATATTTTAACCCTGGTATTTTTGCCTTTTTTAAAAAAAAAAAATCTTAAAAATCTTAGCTACATTAGCCACTTGCTGGCTTTCTCCTTATTATTATTTGTATCCCTTAATTTTTATTTTTTATTTATTTATTTATTTTGTTCTGCTATTTTAGGGTAACCAGATGCATATAGGCTATTAGGCTAATTTTAGGATCTTTCTTAGCCATAATTATATCTTGTAGATAGATAGTTTGTTTGTTTGTTTGGTTTACTCTGTTTTCTGTTAAATAAGAATTTTGGCAATTTTTTTTCAGCATTTTAGCAAACCAATAAATATGTCTATTTTTGACCACTTAGGTTTAGGTTTGTGATTTTGCTGTTTTTTAGCCAGCGAATCACTATTTTCTCCTTTTATCTTTACTTCCTTTAATTGCAGGTACTGTGGCGTTTTTATTCACACTGCAGCCATAATATTATTATTATTTTATTTTTATATATTATTATATTTGTGGAGTAGTTTTTTCTGACAGTCATTCAGTAGAAAGCCAACTGTCAGACTCATAGAGTTTGTTAATATGTTAAAACTAGACAGGAAACTGAAAAAAAACCCTTTCTTTCCACACATACAATCTCTACTTTTTTTATTTTTTTTGTTCTTTTCTCCCCGTCATGCTGCTCCCCTCCTGGCTCAGTAATCTCATTTTGAGTTATTACCATAACTCTGAGTCTCTTTCCAGTGACTTACAATTATTATATCTTTGTCCTTTGAATTTTTCAGAGCTACAGTGTTGCCTCAGCTGCATTAATAATGTAAAAACCCAATGAAATATTACTCAGGCCTGTCTGAAGCTGTTGCTACAAGATCATGAAGATGCTGGCGGACACAAAGACACACACACACACACACACAATCATTCTCCCTCAGTCTATCGCTGTCCTCACGTTACACTTTTGTTTTTTTTTTTCTTTGTGTTGTTTTCCATCAGTGAGCCATGTCTGCGTAAACGTTGTCTGGCTTCTTGTTACTTTGCTGCTCCGTTGGTATTGTTATTGTTATTGTGTTGTGATCCCTGTATAAAAACCGAAGCTGAACAAGGCTGAAAACCTGTTTCCATCCCGCTGCAGAACTCACCTGCAGCAAATCCTGATGTTACATGCAAAAAAAAAAAAAAAAAAAAAATCATAAGAATAATTGCGTACAAACGTCCGAGGTATAAACACATTTGGACTTTTCCGACCGAAAACCCAGGGATTGCCAAGCCCTCACTCTCCTTCGCCAAATTCCATTCAATTCAATCAATGTTTTTAGCTCGAGGGAAAACAGCAGCAGCTGCTGCTGCTGCTCTGACGCCGTGTCATTCACTAAATTTGTTTCTATTAGCTAAATCCAAACAAAGGATTGTAGACAATTAAGTTGCTAAATAACACATTTGAACAGACTGATGGAGGCAGCGGTGGACCTTTGTACCAGAGACCCTGTTAGAAAACCACTGAATTTCTCTATAGACCTTTGTGTTACACAGAGGACAGAAAACGTGACCGGAGTACATCCAGGTTTTACACGACGATCCTTTTGTTAAAGGGTTAGTTCAGGTTTTTTTTTTTTTTCTTCTATTCTTCGTCAAGCAGCCGTACAATCAGTGAGGGAAACATTCATTTCTCCGTGTGGTTCCTGATGCCACATCTAGCTACGGTTAACTTCTAGGGGCCAAGATGTTGCGATAATGAATAATGCCAGTATTTCACATCAGGGTGAGCTAGCTAAGTTACTAGCTTAACTTCTAGATGTTGCGATAATGGATAATGCCAGTATTTCACATCAGGGTGACGGCAGCCATTTTGAGAAAGGAGCATTTCCTTTAAGTACAGGGTTGTTGTCGGGGTAAAAACTGCCACGCATATATTATGCACATGTAGAATTTGACCACTGCATATGCACTAATCCAGCAAACATAGGTATGGACTCTAAATGGAAAGTTTTATTTAAAACAACCGCATGCATGTTAAGCTTTAGTGGGCCACATAAAAGGAAGTGGCGGGCCGGATTCAGTCCGCGGGCCTTGAGTTTGACATGTGTGTTCTCTGAAAAAAATGAACAACCCTCCTGAAAAGAGAAGCTGAAAGTGAAAGTGA